GATCAATGTAATCTTCAAAAGATTAATTTCTATGATGACTAATCTGGTTTCCTAATCCTCTTATTACTATTGCTCTTTGTATTTTCTTAATTATAGAAAGAGTGGAGGACAGTTGATTGGCACATTACATGCTTTTATTAATTAGGATTAAGATCAGTGCATAGGGCTGGCTCAGTGATACAGCAGTGGTGCAGATGGTGCTAGTCCATACAGGGCATTGTAGGTTTAGTTCTCCAGTCACCCTGCAAGTGCTAGGTGTGTGCACCATGGTCCAGGCTGGCTGAAGGAAGAGGGCAGAGAGATCATGGAAAAAGACCTTTTTGAGGGTATTTGACTTTATCTCGCTTTCATGAAGGAAATAAATAAACTTTAAGGAAAAAAAAGATCAGTATTTAGTAACAGTGACTGTCAAAATAACAGACGCTTAAACCAGAAATATATTTCTTTCTGATGTGAAAGAGGTAGGAAGTTCAATTGATATTGTGGTTTCACCATGTAATCTTTCTTCTCCACTATTCTTTTTAGGTTTTTGCCAAAGAGTATATGTGCTCCCTGGAGAGAGACAGAGAAAGTGAGAAATCACCCTCCAGGGTGATGGCCACATCACAATCTCTTCTCCATTTTCTTCTCGGGATTTTATGCGTGCACACATCTGGTGTGATTTCTGGGCTACCGGTTCTGGGACTTGAACCATGGTTGGCCACATGGGAGTCCAGCATTTTTACCACCATTCACCTGCTGGCCCCTCTTCTCCACCATTATTGTTGTTGTTTTAGACTTTTTTTTACTTTAGGGTGCATGTGCTTGCCAGAGAGAGAGAGAGAACACAAGAAATCACCCCGGGGGGATAGGCATACATGCACATGCACATGCACCCAGTCCGAGTTTCAAGCTCAAGTCTGGGACTCAGGCTGCTGTCGGCCGTGTGAGATTCCAGCACCTCAACCATCACGCTCTTCTTCATACCTCATCGCTCCAGGTGCTATTGGAGCTTTAGCATGTATGTTCAAATTCCCAGAAATCCCACACATTTCTGCTTCTGGGTAGTTGGGTAGAACTTTGTCAACATGGTCACACCTGTCTTGAAGTGATTTTATTTTAGGCAGCTAAAAATCAGAGTTCAGTTATCAAGAAGAAAAGCAAAAATAGGTGTTGGGATGGGCAATTAGTAATCCCTACTACAGTGCCCAAACTGTCCTAATTTCTCTCAGTGCATAGTATCTCGGATCTAGAGAGATCACGTAATTCTGGTGCTGAGTTCTATGAAGTACATCCCCAAGCTGGGAAAAACAGATGTCCTGACGCTTCAGGCTCTCTGTTAGCATTGCCAGCAAATATAGCTCTGTTCACCAGATAAGTGTGCAGCCTAGTCAACAGATTTGATCAGCTTCTGTCAGCTGAATTTCTTTTATGAGCATCCTCTCCATTTTGGCATAGAGTCAGCCTCCATGGATTGAGATTTCCGTGATGGTTTCCTTGATTATATCAGATCTAGTGGGGGTGGTAGATCTAGTTGCTGTGAACATAACAGTCATCTTGTCTTTGCAGATCAGGAAAAACAGATCAGATTTTTTTGACAACACAAGGCTTTCTTACCTCTGCTTATCACTACGTCCAGTGTCCTATACCTGTGTTGAAGTGGCTGTTTCGGGTAAGAGACTTATTTGGGCGATAGTTACTTTGTATTGTAATTCACAGTCAAAAACAAACCTTTTAGGTCTAAGTGGTGGTACAGTCAAGATACAGCTGGACCTTCCCCGAGTATGCTGGGCATGCGCTCGTGTGCCCCTGATGTAGGCCAGGTGAGACTGGGGGTGGGTCACTGTGTGAGGTTTCTCTTGAAGGTACCCTTTCTGTCTTTGTCTCTCTCTCTGTTATATTCAAGAAACAAGTAAACTTTTTTTAAAAGAATTATCTTATTTAACTTTATTTCTTTATTTATTTTTAATTTGACCAGAGAGAAAGAGAGAGTAAGAAAGCAAGCCACCAGATCTGGGACTCAAACCATGGTCAGCCATGTGGGAGTCCAGTTCTCTCAACCACCATGCTGCCTGCCAGCCCTGAAATAAGTAAACTTTTTTTAAAAAGCTTTTTAAATGTAATTTTATTTGCATGTTATTAGAGAAAAAACTAATATAGCACATCAAGCCTATGATTTTAGTGGGTTAGAATGAGGAAAAAGTAGACATAAAGAAAATGGTAGGGCAGGTAGAATACAGACAGGATGATAATGTCGGGCGTTTCACCATAGTGGTAAAATCAGTTATAGTTAGTTTTAGGAGGGGTCTTCTAAGGCTTACAGACCTAGATTTCTTTTAACTTTTTCCCCCATGTTATGGAGGTAACTATACATTTTGAAGATTTTAATTGTATACAGCTATTTTGCCCTTCATGTATATTTTGGAGGGAGGATGCAAATTTAATACTTCAATCAGTGGCATTACTGATTTTAAGTATAGAATCGTGGTGTTATTCTAGATACTTTGGATCTTAAGGCAGAAAATTTCATCAACATAAAAGCTTATTGTTGGCATTTATATTACCCAGAAGTTAACAATTCAGTGCTAAATACAGTGTATGCTAGGGCCAGCAGATGGCTTGTTGATTAATGCACTGGACTCCCACATGGTCAACTGCAGTTTGAGTCACAGACCTGGGGGTTTGAAAATTACACCAGGCGCATGTGCATGCTTACTCAAAATCCCAGGAGGAGAATGGAGGAGAAAGGATTGTATGCTGAGAGGTCATGACCAGGGCTTTTTCCACTAGGGTTTATTTTAAGAAATATTTATTTATGGGTCTGGCAGGTGGCGTGGTAGATGGGGCACTGGATTCCCACTTGGCCAATTGCAGTTCAAGTCTCAGAGTTGGCGGCTTGCATTCTCTCTCTCTCTTTGGTCAAATTGAAGAATAATAATAAATAAATAAAATTGAATAAGTAATCCTTTAAAATTTGTATTATTTAATTTTATTTATCTTTCCTTTTTTTAATTTGCTACAGGGCATGCATGCTCACCAGAGACAGACAGACAGAACCTGAGAAAGCAAATCGCCAGGTCTGAAGCTGGAACTGCAGTCAGCCATGTGGGAGTCCAGCACCCTAACTACCACCACATCGCTTGCCAGCCCTATACTAGCTTCTACAGCATTAACACCTATGCCATAATAATGCCCAATTAGGTTGGAATTATCTTAGACAAGAAGGATTAAGAGTGACAAAGGTTGAGCATTCTTAATGGTATAATGATTATGTCTCTGGACTCCCACGTAGTTGACTATGGTTCGAGTCCCAGACCTGATGGCTTAAAATTTATGCCAAGTGGGTGTGCGTGTGTGCCCAAAATCCCAAGAGGAGAATGGTTGCAGTGTGAACATCCTCCCCCCCCGGGGGGGGGGGTGATTTCTCGCTTTCTGTCTGTCTCTCTAGCCATCAGATAAGTTTCCAAGGAGACTTACCCTACCCACGTCTTTCTGTTATTACAATTCAAAACATTTGCTGTCATGCCAGGGCTTCATAATTCTCTCCAGATATATGTATGTAGGTATGTGTGCATATGTGTATGCATGCTTGCTTGCTTGCTATAGGGCACATACACTTGCCAGAGAGAAAGAGAGAACTCACCCCCTGGGGGGATGGCCATCCACAGTCCCTTCTCCATTCTCCTCTCAGGGTCTTGGGGATGCATGTACATCCACCCAGCATGAGTTTTAAGCCTCTAGTCCAGGACTCAAACCATGGTTCACTATGTGGGAGTCCAGTGGTGCAACCATTACTCTTATCTGCTGGTCCCTCTAGATATCTCTTAAATTTAGAAGAAATTTGCATTTATCTGTGCTAGTTTTTATCTTATGGATGTGAACCCATCTAGTGTATCTTCATTTAAAGTTTTGAATACTCTTCAAATTTTTTGAAGAGAAACAAAAAATTATTTATTAAGCTCTTTCTTGGTGTAAGATACTTTCTCATTTCTCCTTTTAACTCCCAAATTCATTTTTATGGTGGAGAGAGTCTTTATTGACTTCTATTATTAGACTCTATACAAAAATTCAGTTATTTCTGTAGTCTTAACTAGTATTTTATTAATTTGGTTGTTAAAATGTAATAAAAATGGGAACCAGCAGATGGTGGAATGGTCATGTCACTGTACTCCCATGTAGTTGGCCATGGTTCAAGTCCCAGACCTGGCGACTTGAAACTCTTGCCGGGTGCATGTGCGTGCGTGCATGCCCAAGATCCCGAGAAGGGAATAGAGAAAGGATTGCAGCATGGCCATTGCCCTGGAGGGGTGATTTCTCACTTTCTGTCTCTCTCTGGCAAGCACATGTGTTCTGTAGCAAAAATTTCTCTCAAAAAAAAAAAGTAATAAAAATCTTTTCATTTTTGTGACTATATTGAGTTTCTACATGTAGTAGACTATTAGAGTTCACTGCCTTTTTTATTTTTATAATTTACAAATGGAATTGATGTTTGACTGAAAAGGTCAAGTAAAATTAGAATAATTTTCTTTTTTTTAAATATTTATTTATTTATTTTATTTTACCACAGAGAGACACATACAGAGTGAGAGAGCAGGAAAGAGAAAACAAGCCGCCAGGCCCAGGACTCGAACCATGGTCAGCCATGTGGAAGTTCAACACATCAACCACCACACCACCTGCTGGCCCCAATTTTTTTTTTTTTAAGCTAAACTCCTCCTAGGTCCTAATTCTTTGGTGCTGTCACATTTTGGTCAGTGTCTTCTAGATCATTCTCTGCATATGAAAATTGCTATATAACATATAGCAATATGTTTTATACCTGGTTTGTTTTATACCTGGTTTTTTTCCGGTAATTGAGCGTTTTCATCTCCAAATATATAGGTTATTATCTTTAATGGCTTTCTAGCATTCTTTTGTCAGGCTGCTTTATTTCACCCATTCTCAATTTGGTAGACATTAAATTGTTGAACATACTTTACCCATTTGTTTGATGAGCTGAAATTGCTTTATTGCTCATCCTAGAATTCATCACCCCCCAGAAAGATTTTTATCCAACTTGTCCTGTGTTCAACATGTCTATGAGTGGCATGGCCTCCTTGTGGGAGTTTAACAAAAACATCGTAACAAAGGCAATTTTCATATAGATTGTTTTCAAAATGACTCAGACTATGCCTGATTGAAATCAGAGTTTAGGGGCCGGTGGACGGAGTAATGGTTATGTCACTGGACTCACAAATACTTGACTGTGCTTTGAGTCCCAGACCCAGCAGCTTAAAATTCACTCCAGGTGCCTGTGTGTTTGTGCCCAAAGTCCCAAGGAGAGAACGGAGGAGAAGGGATTGTGGTGTGGCCACTCCCCTGGGGAGTGATTTCTCGCTTTCTGTCGCTCTCTGATGAGTGTACACCCTCTATAGCAAAAATCTCTTTTTTTTTTTTTTTGGAGAGATTTTCTCTGTAGGGCGCGTGCGCTCGCCAGACAGACAGACAGAGACACAGAGACAGAAAGCAAGAAATCACCCCCCAGGGGGGATGGTCACACGGCAATCCCCTCTCCTCCATTCTCCTCTCGGGATCTTGGGCACGCACGCACATGCGCCCGGCGTGAGTTTTAAGCCACCGGGTCCGGGACACGAACCGCAGTCGACTACGTGGGAGTCCAGCAACATAGCCATTACGCTAACTGCTGGTTCCCAGCAGAAATCTCTTTTGAAAAAAAAAAAATCAGAGTTTAGGTTATTCCCCTTATTTTAGATTTATATTTTTACTATAATAATCTATGACTACTAAACAAAAGAGGTAGCAATAGAAATGTAGGTTCCTCTACAAGTCCACTTTAAAATCATGTTCAATATGTTACAAGTTAAAAAAATACATTTTTGGGGACTAGCAGTTAGTGTAATGGCTGTGTCACTGGATTCCCATGTAATTCCCAGACCTGGTGGCTTAAACTCATGCCCAGCGCGTGTGTATGCGTGCCCCGGATCCCGAGAGGAGAATGGAGGGGAAGAGATTGTAGCGTGGCCATCCCCCGGGGGAGTGATTTCATATATATATACACATATATATATATATATATTTTGTTTTCATTGTTTCTCATTGAATCTGTCTAATGACTAGTGATAATGAACAAGTATTAGAAAGTGTACTGGGGGCCAGCAGATGGCGCAGTGGTTAAGGCACTAGACTCCCACATGGCCAAGCAACCACAGTGAGACTGCCAGACCTGGCAGCCTAAAACACACCCTAGCGTATGTGCATCCCTGCCCAAAAGCTCAAGAGGAGAATGGAGTAGAGGATTTCTCACTTTGTTTCTCTGTCTCGCCAATGAGCACACAACTGGAAAGCAAAAATCTCTCAAAAAAAGTTAGCTTACATATTTCTATTTTTCTAATAGTTTTACTAGCAGCCTTTTATTTTTAGTTTCCTATTATGATATATATTAGAAAGCTGTTTTTTGATAATTTTTAAATGTTACACTTGTCACATTATAAACTGAAGTTGTAAAAACAAGCAGCATGTTAGGATGGAAAGAGCCCTGATTTTGGAATCAGACCCGAATTTAAATTCTACCTCCTCCAAGTATCACATTGGGTAGGGTGTTAATCTTTCTAAGCCTATTTGCTTAAAGTGTAATTAGTACCACCTTTTAAAATGACTGTAAGCATTAAATGAAATGCATGTGAGACACCTTTATATGTGGCTAAGAAATAGTAACTGCTCGTATTTTCTGACAGCCCTATCATTTATCTACTTTTGGCAGATGATGTCGGTTCATACAGACTGTATTGTGTCAGTGCAGATTTTAAGTACTTTGATGGAAATAACAATTAGAAATGGTAAGCATGTAAATTTACTCTGATTTACATTTGTGTATTGGTTATTATTTACATGGTATTTTTTCATATTGCTAAATGTTACTATATTTGGAAATAGGGAATAAAATATTTTTGTTATGAAAAGTGACAGTAAGGGGCTATCAGGTGGCATGGTGGTAAAAGTACTGGACTTCCACACGAATGGCTGCAATTTGAGTACCAGACGCAATGGTTTGAAACTCAGGCTGGGTACAAGTGTGTGCATGTCCAAAATCTCAGGAAGAAAATGGAGGAGAAGGATTGTGGCATCGCCGTACCACATGGGAGGGGTGATTTCTCACTGCCTCCCTGGCTAACACATGCACCATATAGCAAAAACCTTTAGAAAGAAAATGAGAGTTTGGGACCAGCAGATGGTGTAATGGCTACATTGCTGGACTCCCACGTAGTCGACCGAAGTTTGAGACCCGGTGGCTTAAATTCACACCAGGCGTGTGTGTCTAAGATCCCAAGAGGAGAACGAAGGAGAAGGGATTGTGACATGGCCATCCCCCCTTGGGGGGTGATTTCTCACTTTCTGTCTTTCTGGCAAGCAAATGCTCCCTATAGCAAAAAACTCTCAAAAAAAAAAAAAAAGTGATAGTGAAATAAAATGCTGATCAAAAATGAATATTTTAATTTTTACATTTTAATTGAAAAGAAAGGTATAAGATTGTATATGTGGGACCAGCAGGTGACGTGGTAGTTAAGACGCTGGACACTCCCACATGGCCAACCATGGTTCGAGTCCCACACCTGGAGGCTTGCTTTCTCACTTTCTCTCTGTCTCTCTCTGGTCAAATTAAATAAATGAATGAATAAATAAAATAAATAATTTTTAAAAGACTTTCTAAAATAAAATTTTTTTAAAAAGATCATATATATAATATTTACCAAAGCATGGCTTATTTTGCTGGTTAAGTAGAGTAGTTACAAGTTTACTTATTTATTTAGCCCCAGTTAAGTTTATGGGCCTATTGGTGAACAGTAATATTGTACTGAGAATGAACTAAGACGGATTAAAAGCATCCATAGAAAGGGTGACCGTTATTTTCTCACCTCTGAGAGCCCTTTGGGTAAAATAAGCATTGTGGTATTACCTTCTCCCCACTTGGGGAGTCGGGACCACTGAAGATGATGCGGTCTTCCTATGCTGGCATTTCTTGGAATCTCTTCATTATTCTCACTTGTTTCAAATTGTGTCACTTCCTTCTTAGTTATGCCCTTTTCTCCATCACTCTCCGGTATTTTCCTCTTAAATATCATTTTCTTTAACATTTATTTGAAAGTATGATTTTTATCATGATTCTAAAACTTAACTATATAGTTAGCATATCATTAATAGCTGTCAGTTCTACAATATAAAATTACTGTAATCATGGTTCACATGCAGGCTGTCACCTGGCAGATACGGGTTTATAGATAATTTATTTGGAATATTTTATTCTGTTCACTAGATACCTTCAGTGACTCACCAGTTTGGCCTTGGATCCCATCACTGTCTGATATTGCAGCTGTGTTTTTCAACATGGGGATTGATTTTAGATCCTTGTTTCCATTGGAGAATCTTCAGCCAGATTTTAATGAAGACGACCTAATGTAAGTTTTCATTTCATACTTAATTGTAAAATATCATAGTTGGAAATTAAGTACTGTTAATTTAGTAAATTCAGTATTCATTTTTGACATTTTTACATTTTTTTTTAAATTAAGTCTCTCAAAGTGGAGATCAATCTTGAATCAGATTCTTTTTTCTTTTTCTCCTTTTATTGCTACAAGGCATTTGTACCTGCCAAAGACAGGGTGTGAGGGGAGTAAGAGAGGGCATGATCACACTGCCATCTCTTCTGTTCCATTTCTCCTTTTGAGATTTTGGGCACAGAGGTACATGTACCCAGTGTGTGTTTTTGTTTTCTGGTTTTGTTTTGTTTTTTTGTTTTGGAGAGGTTTTTTGTTTGTTTGTTTGTTTTTTGCTATAGGATGCATACACTTGCCAGAAAGAGAGAGACAGAGAGACAGAAAGCAAAAATCACTCACCAGGGGGAATGCCACACCGCAATCCCTTCTCCTCCATTCTCCTCTTGGAGAGAGGGCATGCATGCGCACACACCCGGCGTGAGTTTAAGCCACTGGGTCCAGGACTCGAACCGTGGTCAACTACATGGGAGTCCAGTGACATAGCCATTGCGCCAACTGCTGATCTCCCCAGTGTGTTTTTCAAAGTGCCAAGTCCAGGATATGAATCACGCAATTGGTCCTGTGGGATCCAGCTACCGTAACCACCAGGCCACTGGCTGCCTCATTATGTTGTTATGTGACATTGTTTTGGGGGTACTGACTGAAGCAGTTAGACAAGAAAATAAGAGATAGTTGGAAAGGAGTTTGCAAAAGATTATTTCCAGAAGTGATTTAATCTATACAGAGAAACCTGAGAGGCAGTTGAAAAACTGTGGCAGACAAGCTTGTGAGAGATTTTGGTATGGGCGCCAGGGTGCAAAATTAATACAGAGTGGGGCCAGCAGGAGCTGTAGCGGTCATTGTGCTGGCAGTCCCAGACCTGGCAGCTTGAAACTTACCCTAGGCACATTTGTGCGTGTGCCCACAATCCCGAAAGGAGAATACAGAAGAGGTGGCCACATGGCCATCACCCCTTGGGGGTGATTTCTCTCTGTCTGTCTCTCTCTTTGGTGAGCATACATGCCCTGTAGCCAAAAAATCCTTCCATTAAAAAATAATAATAATACAAGGATATGAAACTCCAGTGGAACGAAATAAAGAAATTCTAAATAGAGCCAAACATATATACCTACTTAGTATATCCCAAAGGTGGTATTTTAAAGAATAAGGAAACGGATACTCAGCGATGTTTCACGGTATCTGGAAAACCAGATAGCCATCTGGATAAAAATTTTTGGATTCCTATCTCAATCTTACTGATAGATCAGAGATGAATGTATGTAGTATAAACAAGGAAATGATAGAAGAGCTAGCAGCGTATTTACAACAACCCTAGAAGAGGGCAAGATGACTTTATGTGTGAACTAGCACCCAGAATTTATCAAAGAAAGTAATAATCTAGTTGACCACATTTTTTGAAAATCTACATGGCAGTAATTATAAACAAAGTCAAAGTAAATCCACAAAATAGAGAGGGAGAGGGCCGATCTCTCATGGTCTAGTGGTTAAGGAAGCCAGATCCCACATGGCCTACTGTGTAGGATAAATTCCCGGCTCTGTCGGTCTGAAAACATACTGGGCACGTGTGCCACAAAATTCTGACAGGACAGATAAACAGGGAAGGGGTTGTAGCATTATTACTCACTCTCTGGTGAGTGCACATGCTCTGACGATTAAAAAATAGAAGGGAAAATGAAAATGTGTGTGTGCGTGTGTGTGAGAGAGAGAGAGAGAGAAACTAGACAAAGCCTTAATTTCAGGTCTGGGGGAAAGATCAGTAACCTGTCAGAAAAATTGACAGAAGGAGGGCCAGCAATAGGTGTGGAGGTTAAGGTAGCTTGATATCCCACATGTCCATCTGTGCTGTTCGAGCCTCAGACCCAGTGGCTTGAAAAATCATCTGTATTGGGACCAGCAGTTAGCGTAATGGCTATGTTGCTGGACTCCCACGTAGCCGACCACCGTTCAAGTCCTGGACCTGGTGGCTTAAACTCACGCCGGGCACATGTGCATGTGTGCCCAAGATCCCGAGAGGAGAATGGAGAAGAGATTGCGGCGTGGCCATCCCCCTTGGGGGTTGATTTCTCAATACCTCCTCCTCCCTCCAACAGACATACACTCTAGCAAACTCTAAAGCGGGGCCCAGAGGGGTCAGTTCTGTAGCTCAGGGTTGGCTATGCCTAGGGAGCCAGATCCCACACATGTGCATGCATGCCCCAAATTTCCCATTTAGGAGAAATGGGAAAGATGGCAGTGTCACCACACCCAGTCAGAGGGTTCTCTCTCTCTGGCAAGTACACATGCTCTCTGGCAATTGAAAAAAAGAAATAAAAATATGGGCAAAGTAATGAATAGACTGGTCATACACAAAAAAAAAAGGAAGTAAAAATAATTCTTTTAGTATTATCATTGTTTTTTTAAGTTGCTATAGGGCACGAGTGCTTGCCAGAGAGAGCGCAAAAAGGAAAGTGAGAAAGCAAGCCACCAAGTCTGGAATTTGAACCGAGGTTGGCCATGTGGGAGTCCAGCGCCTTAACCACCATGCCACCTGCTGGCCCCGTAAAAATAATTCTTAAACATTGCAAATATATTCAACCTATGAAAAAAAAAAAATGGTGCTTTTTGTTTTGTTTTTGTGAAGGGCACATGTGCTTGCCAGAGAGACAGGGAGTGGGAAAGATGAAAGTGCCCCCATGGAGAATGATCAGGCAGCGGTCCCTTCTCTTCCATCTCTCCCTCCTTGTGAGATTTTGGGCATATAGGCACTCAACATTCAGTATGTTTCCCAAGCTGCCAGGTCTAGGACTCAAACCATGTGGTTGGCCCTGTGGGATCTGACTTCCTTAACCACTAAGCCACAGAGCTGACTCCAAAATGGAAATTCTTACAGTGACATATCTAAAACCATTCTTCAGGGTCAGTAGGTGGGATAGTGCTTAAGGTGCTGTACTCCTACATGGCCATCTGTGGTTCAAATCCCAGTCCTGTTGGCTTAAAAATCACCCCAGCGCATGTGTGTGCATGCCCAAAATCCCAAAAGGAAAATGGAGAAGGAATTGCAGCACGGCCAGCCCGCTTGTGAGGTGATTTCTCACCTTCCCTCTCACTGTTTCTGGCAAGTGCATACTTACTATGGCAAAAACTTGTAAAAATAAAAAATGAAAAAAATAACAAAACTCTTCATTTCTCCAATTCTCTTGCCACTCCATTTAGGAACCCTTTTTACTCAGATGTAATCTGTCTTAAAATAATGTTAGATTGCAAATTTTCAGGTAAAGTCTATATTCTGTCACCTTAAGTAGGAAAAATAATGCTTTCTCAGACCAAGAGAAACCTCAGTTATTTTCTCAAAAATATTACTAGAGGGACCAGCAGTTAGTGTAATGGCTATGTCGCTGGACTACCACGTAGTCGACCGCGGTTCGAGTCCCAGACCCGGTGGCTTAAACTCATGCTGGGCGCATGTGCGTGCATGCCCAAGATCCTGAGAGGAGAATGGAGAAGGGATTGTGGCGTGGCCATCCCCCCTGGGGGTGATTTCTTGCTTTCTGTCTCTCTGTCTCTCTGTCTGTTTGGCGAGCGCACGCGCCCTATAGCGAAAACCTCTCCAAAAAAAGAATTACTAGAATATTCATAAACATTTATGTTTTGAAATTTACTTAGTATTTCTACATAATGTAAACATTGAAAATACCAAGTACTTGGGAGGGGGATGCATGTGGTGTGGTGGTGAAGAGCACTGGATTTCCACAAGGCTGACCACAGTTTGAGTCAAAGTGAATAAAATAATTATTTAAAAAATACCAAGTATTGAGACCAGAAGATATCATAATGGCTATGTCACTGGACTCCCATGTAGTCGACTGTGGTTCAAGTCCCGGACCCGGTGGCTTAAACTCATGCTGGGCACATGTGCATGCGTGCCCAAGATCCCGAGAGGAGAATGGAGGAGAAGGGATTGCAGCATGGCCATCCTCCTGGGGGGTGATTTCTCGCTTTCTGGCGAGCGCACGCGCCCTATAGCAAAAACCTCTCCAGGGACCAGCAGGTGACGTGGTGCTTAAAGAGCTGGATACTCCCACATGGCTGACCATGGTTCAAGTCCCTGACCTAGTGGCTTGCTCTCTCACTTTCCCTCTTTCTCACTCTGTGTCTCTCTCTGGTCAAACTAAAAATAAATGAATAAATAAATTAAAAAATAATAATAACTTTGGGGAAAAAAAACTCTCCAGAAATAAAAAAGTACTTATTTAACATTTAATACACTCCTTAGTGTAGTGTGGTCATTTTGTATGTTACATGTATGCAATAGATTTGAATTTTCTTTCTTCACTGTGGTGAAAACATACAGGAAGGGAAATAAGCAGTGAGATAAAGGAATATAATGATTACAGTAAGACATAATAAATGCAAATGATATTAAACAAAGTGAAATCATTTTTTATTGAGTTAGTTGAAGGGTTGCCAGTCAGCTTTAGTGACTGGAGCCTGAGGGGTGCTGGCTGTACCCCCGCTGTGCAGTAGAGAATGGAGATGGGCACAGGGAAGCACTGGCAGCGCCGTGCGTGGTAATGAAATGCCTGTTAGAACAACACGAGTACACGTTCAGACCCGTGGAGGTAGGACCACAACATTCCTTTTATTGTGTGCCGTTGTACCTCAGTAGAATGCAATTTGGGAGCCAGCCGGTTAGCCTGGTGGTAAAGGTGGCTGGGTCCCTGAGTGGTTCAAGTTCCAGACCTGGTGGCTTGAGAAACATGCTGGGAGCTATGCAGTTGTGCATAAGCATTTGGGGGATGCTTTCTTACTTTTCCTCTCTGTCTCTTCTAGTGAGTACACATACCCTATAGCAATTTTTTTTTATGTTTTTTGGGGCCAACCCCATAGTGTAATAGTTAAACTTTGTGGATAGAGCCAAGTCCCACATGGCCAACAGCTGGCATTCTGGCCCCTGTGGCCTAGGATCCTGGCTGGAAGGAGTAAGAGAATAAAGGGGATTATGGCATGACTAGGCCCCGTTGCAGGTGCTTTCTCTCGCTTGCTCACTCTAGAATATACCTGCACTCTCTGGTATTTGAAAAATGAGTTAACAGACATGTGATTAAATGTAAGTAAATTTTTAGATGAATTGAAAATTAAAGCTTTAAAGAATGTAGGGTGTTTTTTTTTTTTTAAGGAATTATTTATTTAATTTTATTTATTCATTTATTTATTTTCATTTGACCAGAGAAACACAGACATACAGAGAAAAGGAAACTGAGGAAGCAAACCACCAGGTCCAGGACTCGAACTGTGGGTGGCTATGTGAGAGTGTCCAGCACCTTAACCACCATGCCACCTGCTGGCCTAAGAATGTTTGGTTTTTTGTGTTTTTTTTTTTTAATAATTATTTTATTTAACTTTATTTATTTATTTTAATTTGACTAGAGAGGGATAGCGCATGCAAGAGAGAAACGGACAAAGTGAGAACACAAGCCACCAGGTCCGGAATCAAACCACAATCGGCCACGTGGGAATCCGGCACCCTTAACCACCGCTCCACCTACCAACCCCAAGAATGTAGTTTTTAAGTAGTTTGTCAAGTCCCACAACTGGCAACTTGAAGATCAACACCAGGCGCATGTGCATGTGTGCCTAAAATCCCAGTAGGAGAAGGGATTGCAATACAGCCATCCCTGGGACTAGGGGTGATGTCTCCTTTCCTTCTCACTGTCTCTCTGTCCCCCTCTGGAAAGCATGTGCGGGAAAGCGCATGCGCCCTATGGCAAAAGTAATGGATGGATGGATGGAGTTTCTCAACATTGAAGTGATTCTCTTGTGCCTAATTTCACATTGCTTTATTGTCTCAATAGTTCTGAAGCACAGACAACACTGGGAGAAAAAAAATGTGAAGATGCATCTTATAAGCCAATTTTTTCATCTCTTCCTGAAACCAACATTTTAAATGTGGTTAAGGTAGGAAAAACCTTTTTGTGTTTCTTTGGTACAGAGCTAGAACCATTTATTTGTGGTTAATGGTTTAAAAAAACATACTAAGTTTCCTACCTGGTAATTTTTAGTCTCTGAAATTTCTTAGCAATAATCTTTGTATTATAGATTGTTTTTCTTGGGAACCAGCAGTTAGCGTAATGGCTATGTCGCTGGACTCCCATGTAGTCGACCATGGTTCGAGTCCCAGACCCGGTGGCTTAGAACTCACGCCAGGCGCATGTGCATGCGCGCCCAAGATCCCAAGAGGAGAATGGAGGAGAAGGGACTGTGGCGTGACCATCCCCCCTGAGGCGTCATTTCTCGCTTTCTGCCTCTATGTCTCTCTCTCTGTCTGGCGAGCGCATGCACCCTATAGTGAAAACCTCTACCAAAAAAAAAAAAAGAAGAAGATTGTTTTTGTTCACGCCAAGTGCATTTGCATGTCTGCCCAAAACTTGGAAGGAGAAGTAATTGCAGCAAGGCCATCCCCCTCGGAGATGATTTCTTGTTTTCCTTCTCTGTCTGTCTGTCTCTCTGATTCTCCTGCAAGTACACATAGTCTGTTTTTTGTTTTTGCTGATTTTAGTTGTGTTTTAATACTAGAAACGAAAGGAAAACTTGAAATCAAAGTTACGTTATAAACATAATTTTGAAACCAATAATATTTTAGGGTATATACAGAATGTATGAAATTAGGATGTATACAAAAAGGTATTAGTTGGGACCAGCGGTTGGCGTAATGGCTATGTCGCTGGACTCCCATGTAGCTGACCGTAGTTCGAGTCCTGGACCCAGTGGCTTTTTAAACTCATGCCAGGCGAGTGTGCGTGCGTGCCCAAGATCCCGAGAGGAGAATGGAGGAGAAGGGATTGCGGTGTGGCCATTCCCCCCTGGGGGGAGATTTCTTGCTTTCTGTCTCTCTGTCTCTACGTCTTTCTGGCGAGTGCACGTGCCCTATAACAATGCGAGAGGGCGGGCCCTAAAAAAAAAACCCCCCAAAAAAAAAAAAAAAAAAAAAAGTATTTGTTACAGTGTCGTTTGGGCTGGCCCTGTATCCTGAGGGTTAAGACTACTGAATCTCACGTGACCAACCAGGGTTGAAGTACTGACCCTGGAGGTTTGAAAAACTTGCCAGGCACATATACATTCATGCCCAAAATTCCATCAGGATAGAAAACTGGAGGAAGAGAACTTTCAGCATGATCACACTCTGTTGAGGGATGCTTTCTTTGTATCTGTCTGTCTGACAAACACACGTGCCGTCCTGCAATTGAAAATAAAGATAATATAACTTAATGAACAAGAATTAGTCATTGTGAAATCATAAACTTTTCTCCCTTCCTGACCCCTTTGCATTTGGAAAATATTTGTAAACATTCTTATTTTGTGGCAGAGTGGTTTGCATAAGTTCAATAGTGTCTGTTTCCTTGCATCAGAAATTGAATTCTTATGGGGCTTTGTACAAATAACAGACCAAATTGAGATTAACCTTTTTTTTTTTTTCCTTTTCTTTCTTTTCTTTTCTTTTTTTTTTTTTTGCGAATAAGTTAATTCGTACTTCTCTTTGGTAAAAGGGGGAATGGAGAGAGAAAAAAATGTTTCAGAAGAAAATTACAGTGCATTTGTCACTGGATTCTAGCTTCATCCTTATTTTTAGTTTAAGATCTTTTGTGAATCAATAAAATGTGGGGGGGGGAATTTGGGGAATTTAGTATGGAAGGGAGGGAAGGGAAAGGGGAAGGGAAAAAACAAGTATGTTTAATTGACCAAAAAATAAGAAACTATTTGCTGATGATAATGTATATGGTAATATCTTTGTCTTGACTGACATCATGGTATTTGTGCTGGAAAAAGAAATATTGTACACTGTAAAGACATTTTTTTTTTCTTTTTTTTTTTTTGGAGAGATTTTCACTGTAGGGCACGTGCGTTCGCCAGACAGACAGAGAGAGACATAGAGACAGAAAGCGAGAAATCACCCCCCAGGGGGGATGGTCACGCCGCAATCCCTTCTCCTCCATTCTCCTCTCAGGATCTTGGGCACGCATGCACACGCGCCCGGTGTGAGTTTTAAGCCACCGGGTCCGGGACACAAACCACGGTCGACTACGTGGGAGTCCAGCGACATAGCCATTACGCTAACTGCTGGCCACAAAGACATTTAATTAAATGTAAATAAATAAATACTTTAAATGCTAAAAAAAAGAATTAGTAATTGTGATAACATTTTTAGTGGCTGAATCAAATTGTTTATACTGAATCTATGAAGAAAATCTTGAAAATGGAAAATGGGGGAGATACTTAATTTGATATTAACATGAATATTTCTTGCCATTTTTCTAAACATGCGGTATTTGTTGTTCATTTCTCTTTTTATTTATTTATTTTTTCTGTTTTTGTAACTTGCCATAGAGTATATGTGCTGACTGGAGAGAGAAAAGGAGGGCGGGAAAGTGAGAAAGCACCCAGGAGGGAATGGCCACAGGAAATCTCTGCTCCCCCATTCTCTTCTTGGGATTCATTTTGGGCACTCGCACCTGTGTATTTTTCAAGCCACCAGGTCCAGTAGACAAACTGCATAGTCAGTCATGTGGGATCCAGCCAGTTAACCACTACGCCATAGACTGGCCCCTCTCTTCTATACCTTTGGTCAAAAAGATTTATAATGAAAACTCTTCATGTAAAATACAGCTCCTAAAGTTTGTGTGTTTGTGTCAAAAAGTTTCTAGGTTTGTGTACATCCATACATCCAGAAGGTTACCAAGATGGTGAAATAATGTTGCTGATTTTAATGTTGTTTAAAATGAGTTTGGAAAAACAGCTGAAACAGATTCCTCTAGTAGACTTTCAGAGTCTCCTGATAAACCTGATGAAAAACATCAGAGATTGGAACACAAAGGTAACATTAATTAAAACTTCAGTACTGATTTTTTTTGGTACAGCCTCACAACTTCTGTCTTAGAATTAGTACTGTCTCTAAGCTCAGTTAAAATCTTTAGTAGATTAAAAAATGAACTGAGGAAGGCACCGTGTTTGTTGGAACTGTATTATTTAAATTCATGATTACTGAATCTTTTCTAAAACCATAGTTATTTATTCAGCAAAAATGTGTTTTTTGGGAACTTCCAATGGACTACACATTATTAATCATCTATGAAAAAGACCAAGCTCTTACCCTCAAAGGAGATTTTCTTCTATTCAGAAGCTAGATAGTAAACAAGTAAATATAAATCATAATTAATAAGTGCTACGATTTAAATTAAAGCATGACATGGCAGAAAAATATTTTAAAAAGATGGTTTGTGATAGAACTGAATCTGAACACTATACGCACAGCATGCTATTTCTAAAAATGAGTGTTTTATTTTGTATTAATGCTTCCATTAGAGCTAGAAGGGATACAGGTGATTTGTTGGATGTTTGACTGTGCTCTACTATTTAAAAAGAATCTTTCTTATTCATAGGTGCCTGAACTCTCCCTGGGCATCAATGAACTCTCCAGGCATCCCCACAACCTTCTGTGGTTGGTACAGCTGGTTCCTAACTGGACATCTCGTGGAAGGTATTGAAAAGTGAGAATTACACATTGAGAAATTTTTTGATGTTTATGTTAATGAAATGCTTTTGGACCTTTTATTTCTATTTATCATTCTTTATTTTGTTGTTTTTTAACTTTGCCATAGGGAATATGTTCTTGGCCAGAGTCAGAGAAAAAGTGAAAAAGCATCCCTAGGGTGGATGACCATGTTGCAATCCCTTTTCCTCCAATCTCCTCTTGGGATTTTAGGCATACATGCATGTGTGCCCAGCATGATTTTTTTTTTTTTTTTTTTGGGGGCTTTTGCCATAGGGCACATGAGCTCACCAGAGAGACAGAAAGCAAAAAATCACCCCCCCCCCCGAGGGGATGTCCACACCACAATCCCTTCTCCATTTTCCTCTCGGAATCTTGGGCATGCACACGCGCGTGCCTGGCATCAGTTTAAGCCACCGGGTCCAGGATTCGAACCACAGTCAATTACATGGGAGTCCAGCGACATAGCCATTATACCAACTGCTGGTCCCAGCCCAGCATGATTTTCAAGCCACCAGGTCCAGGACTAAACCACACAGTGGGCCATGTGGCATCCAGCCACCTTAAGCACCATGCCGTTGTCTGGCCTCTCTATCATTCTTTCAATGTTAAGAGTGTTTTATTCCACGTTCAATTATGAGAAAAGGTACTGATAGGCTGATACTGATTCTTAATTCACATCATTCTATAATATTCTCAGTTCTTTTTTTTTTTTTGGAGAGGTTTTCGCTATAGGGCGCGTGCACTCGCCAGACAGAGACATAGAGACAGAAAGCGAGAAATCACCCCCCAGAGGGGATGGTCACGCCGCAATCCCTTCTCCTCCATTCTCCTCTCAGGATCTTGGGCACACACGCACACGCGCCCGGCGTGAGTTTTAAGCCACCAGGTCCACGACGCGAACTGCGGTCGACTATGTGGGAGTCCAGCGACATAGCCATGATGCTAACTGCTGGTTCCCGTCAGTTCTTAATTTTATTTTATCTGATAACTTAATACAGATCACAGATACTATGAAGATTAATGAATTAGCATAAAATGCTTCAGTATAAAGAAATTGCAGTGGGCCAACGAGAGACATGGTGGTTCAAGCAACTGGATCCCACATAGCCAGCCACACCATTCAAGTCCAGACCAGTCACCTTGAGAAACACGCTGGGCGCATGTGCATGAGTGCCCAACATCACAAAAGGGGGAATGTAAGAGAAGAGGCTATGGCATGGCTACCCCGCCTGGATGGTCTTTTCTTGCTTCCTCTCTCACTCTCTGTCTGGCAAACACATGAGCCCTATAACAATATCACAGAAAGAAAGGCATTCCAGCAATAAAATATATCAATATATCCATAGAATCAAAGGTACCGGTGTTTAATAATTTACTGAACTTAGTGCAGCTCTTTAACTTTGTGTGCAGATTTTTTTCGTGAAAATGTTACTGTTCTGCAACAGCTTATGCATTGCTGTACAGCCTTTTCTTGAAACATTACCTGTATTTCTGGTTAGAAGTAGAAGAGCCCCTTTTAGCTCATACATTTGCTTCTCAAACTATTAAAATACATTCTAAAAACGTTTTCTAACTTCTAATTTCAGGCAACTGAGACAGTGCCTCAGTCTAGTGATTATTTCAAAGCTTCTGGATGAGAAACATGAAGATGTCCCTAATGCCAGTAATCTGCAGGTATAAACATATTTTGTTTTCAGTAAATGGGAGAGGTACTGAGGTGTAGGGGAAAAGTGATGAACCCTAAGTCAGAAGACCTGGGCCTCCATCTCAGTTCTTGGGCATGATTCTATTCATGTAATCCTTAGCATGGTATTTGACAAGACCCAGTTTCATGAGTGAAATGGGGGTGATATTCACACCCTCCACTACAGAGATGATTGTGGACAGTCACATGAATTAATGAATATTAAACGGTCAGGAAAATCTTAATGTGCAATTATATGAATGTGACATTACTGAATTAGTGCATCTTATTAAGGTTAGTGGTTTTGTCAAGGATTAAAGAAACTCTTGTATATTAATTATATCTTGTACCTGTTTTAATATTAGTCCTTTTAGATCATAGCACTTAAATATGGTTGCCCTCTAGTACTTGTTCAGCAATGAATATATCACATATGTATGACTGTATAAATAAGTTCTACGGAAGCCTCACTCTGAGAGGTTCTGAAGGCTTTTCACAAACCTTGATAGTGCTAATGGTGCTACCTGTAGTTGGATTTGAAAGCTCACCATACAACATGATCTGGATGACCCTTTGTTGTTTGAATTAAGGCTCAGGACAAGGTACTCTGTCAGGTCCTAGGAATTTTAAAAAATGAATTAGATGAAGAGAGTCTGCCCTTTGAACGCATAATCTAGTGGCTGAAACAAAACAGACCAAGAGCATTAGGTTGGGTTAGTGTGGTAAAAGCAATGACAGAAGTATGCACAGGGTAGGGTGGGGCAGAGAGAGTGAGGGGCATTGCTGGGTTTTGCTTCTGTGGAGTTTGATTCCAGGTATTTGGGGACCACTCCTGAGCCACCAATTTAATGAATGAATAGCTCTCAATCCCTTTGGTAATATTTACTGCCTTCCAAAGAAAGCCCAGGGATAGGATTTTACCATTTGCCTCTTAACTGCCCTCCTCTTCCTTTTTCTTCTCCCTAAAGTTTTTGCCATAGTACACATACACTCACCAGAGAGAAAGAGAAAATGAGAAATCATCCCCAAGGGGAATATCCATGTCACATTCTCTTCTTTACCCTTATCCTGGGATTTTGAGCATGCATGCACACATGCCTGGCATACTTTTCAAGCCTCCAGGTCCAAGACTCAAACCAAGGTTGGCCATGTAGGAGTTCCTGCTAACCCCTCTCTTTTCCTTTTTTTGTCCTTGTAAAATAGAACTACATGAATTACTAACCCTTGGATTTAGGAACTGATGCTCAAATTATAAAATCTGACTTTTTTGTCAGCTTCTTGTATACTTCTTTGCAGAATTCAGTGACTCTAGGGGGCCAGCAGGTGGCATGGTAGTGGTTAAGGGCACTGGACTCCCACATGGTTAACCACAGTTCAAGGTCTGGCTTGCTTTCTCACTTTCCTTCTCTCTCTCTCGCTCTGTTCCTCTCTGGTCAAATTAAAAATAAATAAGTAAAGTTAAAAAAAAATATTTTTTGGAGAGGTTTTTTTGCTATAAGGCATGTGCGTTCGCCAGACAGACAGAGACAGAGATAGAAAGCAAGAATTCACCCCCCAGGGGGGATGGTCACGCCGCAATCCCTTCTCCTCCATTCTCCTCTCGGGATCTTGGGCACACACGCACATGCTCCCGGCGTGAATTTTAAGCCACCGGGTCTGGGACATGAACCACGGTCGACTACATGGAAGTCCAGCGACATAGCCATTATGCTAACTGCTGGTCCCATAAATAAAATAATTACTTAAGAAAAAAGAATTCAGTGACTTCAGGCCAGCATGTGGTGGGGTGAGTAGGACACTGGACTCCCCCATGGCTGACTGCAGTCCAAGTTCCAGACATCGTGACTTACTTTCTCACTTCCCTTCACCCTTCTCTGTGTGTCTCTCTGGTGAGTGTATGTGCCCTATAGCAAAAATTTAAAAATAATAACTGTGATACATAACATTAAATTTTTTTAAAAAAATGAATTCAGTGACTGTCCACAGGCTAAACTTTTCTAACTTTAAATTAATTTCACAGAGCAAGCACTCAATGTGACCTTTGTTGTAGTATCTCCTCGTCTCCTCTTAAGCATTTGAGGACTTTTAAATGAAGGAGGAGGCCGGCAGGTGGTGTGGTAGTTAAGGTGCTGGACTCCCACATGGCTGACCACGGTGCAAGTCCCAGACCTAGTGACTTGCTTTCTTACTTCCTCTCTCTCTCTCTCTCTCTCTCTCTCGCTCTCTCGCTCTCTCGCTGGCTGGACTGAAATAAAAAAAATAGCAACAATAATTAAATAAATAAAATAAAGGAGAACCAACCCCAGCAGTGCAGCCTGTGCCCACAGGAGACCGGCTGCAGGAATCCCAGGCTGCCTCTGCTTGCAGGTAATAGACAAGGGCTGCTGGTAGAGGTAGGATAGGCCCTTTGTTAATGTTTGACTTGAATAAGTTGGTAAGGACATATTTTTTTGTCTATGTTCTGTTTCAACTTATGTAGATTATTATAAATTAGTGTGAACCACATGAAAGGAAAATGTTAATAAAAATGCAAAGACCCAACATTTGCACAAAACTCAAAAAAGGAAATCGATGTATCATTGTGCTTATAAATAAAGCTTAACTGGCAAAATCAGAGAAGGTAAAATAAACAGAGGACATGCTGGAAAAAAGTAGCCTAAAAAAGAGCAACTATGAGGCCAGCAAGTGGCGTGGTAGTTAAGGGGCTGGACTCACATAACTGACTGGTTCGAGTCTCAGACCTTGTGGCTTGCTTTCTCACTTCCCCTTTCCCTTTCTGTTTTTCTCTTGTTTAATTTAAGAAATTAATAATAATAATAGCAAATAGAATTAAGTAATTTTTTAAGAAGGCAACTCTGTTGCTTACTAATCACTCTCTGCTCCTTCTTTTGATAGATATCAGTCCTACATCGCTATCTTGTGCAAATGAAGCCTTCTGATTTGTTAAAGAAAATGGTCTTGAAGAAAAAAGCTGAACAACCGAATGGCACTATTGATGACAGTCTTCATTTAGAACTTGAAAAGCAGGTATTGGTATTCTAGGACTCGAGGCGTCTCAGAGTACATATGACACATAGAGCAGATACCAATTTCCTACCATAGATTGATAGCGTAGACATTTCTGGATTTGGAGACTAGATTTTACTAAGCATATTTATAAGTTGTGTGGTTTTTTTTTTATTTATTGCTGTCATGAAATTCGTCAGTGAATTTGAGAGTTGGAAATTTAGTTGAGAATTTTAGAATTTATATTTAGTAAAAGTGGGTTATTGGTAGTTTAATCATGTGAATATTTTGTAGTGATTCACTGTGGCAGTTATGGGGTGGTAAAAAGAATGTCCTCGAGGGGCCAGCTGGTGCCTTGGCGCCTAGGGCGGCTCCATCACTCGGCATGGCTAACTGCGTGGTTCAACTCCTGGACCTGCAGCCTGAAAACACACCCGGCATGTGCGTGAGTGCATGCCCAAAATCCCAAGGGGAGAAGAAATTGCAGTGTGGCCATTCCCCCTGGGAAGGTGATTTCTCACTTTCTCTTATTCTCTCCGCCTAGCAAGCACCCTATAGCAAAAAAAAAAAAAAAAAAAATGTAAAGGAACTTACTTAAGTTAGAAATCAGAAAGCTTAGTTTAAATTCTTAATTTTTTTCTTAGTTACAAGCTGGGTTAATTTTAGCAAGTCCTTTGTCCTTCCTGGGCAACTATTCTGATACACAGATTAGAATGATATCTGTGCTTGATCATTCGTGGGCAATAATCTTGTGCGTTTCTCTAACAGGCGTATTACCTGACCTACATTCTTCTTCATTTAGTTGGAGAAGTTAGTTGTTCTCATTCTTTTTCTTCTGGACAACGGGTAGGTAGTATTTAGTGTTGCCTTTTTAGTTTTCAAACTGAGTGTCATTATTTATAGAATGAGTAAAAATGCCTTAGATAGCAGAAAACCTAATAAAAATTAACTGGCTTTACACGGTGAGCACAGCTGCCTGTGCCATTAATCCTAGCTAACTGGGAAGCTGGAGCAGGAGGATCGCGACTCTGGCAAGACACTGTCAAAGTACCTGTTCTGTCTTCTCCTTTTTCTCCTTCTCCCCCCCCCCCATATACAAGGGATAAAATTAAGTGGTTTTGTTATAGAAATCCCAGTGTACACAGGAAAGATAGGAGTAACTGGAACTTTACAACCAGATCATATTGACAGTAATTACTTGTTAGCAAATGTTCTGTTTGTAAGAGTGGTACTTAACCATAACTTGACAACAGTATATAACATATTCATAAGATACCAAGGTCACCAAATACCAGATGGGCCAGCTTTTAGCTGGTTTCTTCCCATCTCTTCTCCCTCCCACTTTTTTTTTCTTTAGAAATAACATTTGCTAGCCTAGCCATGGTGGTGCGTGTAGTTAGATACTGTGCTCCACAGGCTAGACGACGTGGGAGGCCCAGGTTTGATTCCCGGTACAACCTAAAGGCCAGGTGCAGTCGCATGCATCTGTAGCCCTAGTGACTCGGGGGTTGGATTGCAAGTTCACGTGTTGCCTGGGCAGTACGATGAGACTTTGTCTAAAAAGAGTCAGGTGGGGGGACCAGCAGGTGGCATGTTGGTTACGAGTGTGGACTCCTACATGGCTGATCATGGTTCAAGTCCCAGACCTAGTGGCTTACTTTCTCACTTTCTCTCCCTCTGTCTCTCTCTGGTCAAATTAAAATAAGTAAATAAATAAATAAAGTTAAATAAAATAATTAAAAAAAAAAAAGAGTCAGGTGTAGTGGCATATACCTGTAGTCCTAGCTGGGAGCTGAGGCAGGAGGATCATAACATGATGAGGCCCTGTCTTTCTTTTTTTTTTTTTTTTTTTAAAGGTAATTTGTTTTTTAAGGGTAATGCAGGCTACTTCAGAATTTTTTTTAAAGAATTATTTATCTAATATTGTTTGTTTATTTAAATTTGCTGTAGGGCAGATGCACTTACCAGAGAGAAATGGAGAAAGCAAGCCTCCAGGTCTGGGACTTTGAGCTACAGTCAGCCATGTGGGAGTCCAGCACCTTAAGCACCACACCACCTGCTTGCCCCAGAAACATATTTCTAAATTACCTCTCCATGTTAACATTTTCATTCTGACTTATTCTGTATTTCCTATACTCTTGGAGAAAGTTTTTCATTTCTCTTATTTTATCTCTTAGCTAGTCTGGCCAACATTTTTTAAACTTGTATCTGTAGGCATGACAGAGCGGCCACAAAACTTTTTAACGTGTTTTTTAATAAATGCTATTATTATTCCATAGAACTGTATTTGCTCTCCTGATTGAAAGATAATATATTAGTTGCAGAAAGTCATGACATATTTTTCTGTTTTTCTACATAAAAATGTGTCATGACTTTTCCAGCAACCTAATAGTTATCTACTACAAATGTGTATGGTCCTTTCGTTCTCTGAGATTTTTTTCTGATTAAAAAACAATCAATGAGGGGGTCAGCCCCTTTACTGCAACAACTACGCACTGTGCTCAGGGAGCCAGGTTTTACTGAACTGTAGCACTTCAGATCCCAGCCCCTGCAGCTTGAAAAACATACAGGGCACTTGTGCTTAAGTACCCAAAATCCTGGCAGGCTAGAGAAATGGAGGAATAAGGATTATGGCATGCCCCACCCCATTAGGGAGTTCTCTCCCTCCCTCCCTCTCACTACCTTGCTCTCTCTGTCGCTCCCTGTCAGGCAAGTGCCCATGCTCTCTGACATTAAAAAGAAAAAAAATTATTGCAAACCCATATAAGATAGAAAGTGGGGCCAGCTGATGACATGGCAACTGGACCCCACATGATGAACAGCACAGTTGAGTCCCAGACCTGACGGTTTAAGAGACACCTGGGCACGTGTGTGTATGCATCCAAAGTCCTGAGAGGAGAGTGGAGGATGAGGGGTAAAAGCATGATCATCCCTGCTGGGTGGTACTTTCTCATACTTCCCTCCCCTCCCCTCTCTTTCTTTTCCTCCCCTCTCCTCCTTTCCCCTCTCCGTCTATGGTGAGCACATGTACCCTATAGCAAAGTTTTTAAAAAGAAAAAAATTATTTTAACAAAAATAAAGTTGTAATGTTGATATTACTTGTACCTTACCTGTTTTCACTTAAAGATAGCACTTCTGTCTAATAACTATGGTATTTTAAAACCTTTATTGATAAACAATTTTTATGATTATACACAGTACTGGCATGAACATTCATATTCATGTTTGCCTATTTGTGTAAAAGTGTCTGTAGGGTAGACTTCTAAAAGTAGAATTACTAGGTTGTAGTTTCTAATTATTAACTACATGAAATTGACTGTTTTAGACTATACTCTTTTAAAACCTAAGACATTTTGGGGCTCATGGGTGGCATTGTGGTTAAGAGCAATAGACTCCCACATGGCCAACCGTGGTTCGAGTCCTAAACCTTGCGGCTTACTTTTTCATTTTCTCCCTCCTTCCCTCCCACTCATTCCCTCTCTGGTCAAATTTTTAAAAATAAAGAAAGAAAAGGATAAATAAAGTTAAACAATAATTTCTTTTTCTTTTTTTCTTTTTTTTTCTGAGCGGTTTTTGCTATAGGGCGTGTGCACTTGCCAGACAGAGACAGACAGAGAGATGGTGAGAAACCACCCCCCAGGGGGATGGCCATGCCTCAATCCCTTCTCTTCTATTCTCCTCTCAGGATCTTGGGCACGCACGCACACGCGCCCGGCATGAGTTTAACCCACCGGGTCCGGGACACGAACCGTGGTTGACTACATGGGAGTCCAGCAACATAGCCATTATGCTAACTGCTGGTCCCAAACAATTTTTTTTTTCAAACAATTTTTTTAAAAAAGCTTAAGACACTTAATTTTTTTGTTGTTAAAATTTTTTTTTAAGAATTTTTTAACTTTATTTATTTCTTTATTTACTTATTTATTTTAATTTGACCAAAGAAGGCAAGAATGAGAGTGAGAGAGAAAAAATGAGAAAGCAAGACTCAGTGTCCTGGACTCAAACCGTGGTCGGCCATGTGGGAGTTCAGCGCCCTTCACCAAGTCTCTGCTCTGGGGTTAATTTTCATTCATGTAGCTTAACACAGAGCAGAACAATTTTCAATTTTGTGTAGTTCTTGTAAATTATCTAGCAATAAACCATAACATTCTTATTGTCATGGAAGTGATTGTTACGGTGCTACTATGTTGGTTAACATCAGAAATTGCTAACTGGGACTAGCAATTGGCTTAATGGCTGTGTCACTGGACTCCCATGGAGTCGACTGCAGTTCGCGTCCTGAACCCAGTGGCTTGAAACTCATGCCGGGCACACGTGTGCATGCATGCCCAAGATCCCGAGAGGAGAATGGAGAGGGGATTGCAGCGTGGCCATCCCCCCTGGGGGGTGATTTCTCGCTTTCTATCTCTGTCTGTCTGGCAAGCGCTTGTGCCCTATAGTGAAAAACCTCTCAAAAAAAAAAAAAAAAAAAAAAAAAAATTGCTAACAGAGAAATTTTAAAATTATTTAGTTAATTCAAACTGTATAATCTCTTTAAGTTGTAATGCTTTAGCGTTGTTGTCATCCTTCCCATTTGTCCACACAGAAACACTTCGTACTACTCTGTGGAGCCTTGGAAAAGCATGTTAAGTGTGATATAAGGGAAGATGCAAGACTTTTCTACAGAACTAAGGTAATGTTTTTCTTACATATTGTCAGTTTTGTTTGTTTAATCTTGATTACGTTAATATTTAAGGAAAAAAAACCCTACAAGCCTCTTTTTAAAAAAAAAAAATTTTTTTTAAATAAACTATAAAGAACATACTTGATTAGAAATATGGCCCAGTCTCTGTGGCACAGTCAGTAGCATGCTAGACTACAGTGCTGGAAGCCACATGGTGATGACAGTTCAAATCCCCGGCCCAGTCTACCTGAAACACATCAGGCAAATGCACAAATACCTAAGAGCTAGTGATATCAAGGAAGTCCGGGATCATTGCAGGACCAGACCCTGTGGAGGGTGCTTCTCTCTCAAGTGTATGTGCACATGTGCTCATCGCACATGAACACATGCACACACATACTTTAACTTGAATAAAGAAAAAAAATTATTTAAAATAAACACTGGCCCTGCAGCATTGTGGTTAAGGAAGCCTGATCTCACATGGTTGACCATGCAGTTCAACTCCCAGCCCTCACGGCTTGAAAAACACACCAGGCAGTGTGTGCACCTGCCCCAAACCCCAACAGGATGGAGAAATAAAGGGGAAGGTACTGCGACATGGCCACACCCCATTGGGCATGCTATCCTTTCTCCTCCTTCCTTTTTCTCTCCATCTTCCTGCTAGACCATGTGCCCTTTCTCTCTATCTTTGGCTAATCCATGTGCCCCCTAGGGGAAAAAGAAAGAAAAATAAATACGTAAGATTAGAAATACGACTTTCATAGGCAAACTGGTGGTATAGTGGTTAAGTCGACTGAATCACACATGCCTGGCTGCATGGTTCAAGTCCTGGACCAGGAGGCTTAAAAAAAACACTCTGGGGACATGTGTACATGTATCCAAAACCCTAAAAGGAGGAAAAGTTGGAGAAGGGATTACAATGATCATCCCAAATGGGGGTGCTTTCTCACTTCCCCACCCCCATGTCTCTCTCCAGCAAATGAGTTATCTGGCAAATGTTTTAGAAAGAAAGAGAGCCAACAGGTGGCGTGGAGGGTAAGGCACTAGCCGTCTGCATGGTTCAAGTCCCTGACCCGCAGTTTAACTATCATACTGGGTGCTTAGACATGCACGCCCAAAACCCCAAAAGGAGATTGGATGAGAAAGGATTCCGGCATGGCTATCCCCTTGGGGTAGTGATTTCTCACTTCCCCTCTTTCTCTCTCTGGCAAATGCACGCACCCTGTGGCAGCTGGCTTGCTAGTAAACTAGCCTTTTTTCTTAAAGGTTTTGTGTACTTAAAGACAAATACATGAGTAGGGAGTAGGAAACTATTTATTTAATTAATAGAATAATTTCACAGTTTTTCCTGAAACATAAAATTAAATAAGACTTAAAAAACTTTCTTCTAAGAATTTTATCACTCCCGTATCTTTTAGGTTTTGTCATGTAAAGCTGATTCCTTTTTGTTTCTCACATTTGGATAGTCATTGAATGTGCAGGCCTAAGCTTTGTAACCCTATCTCTTTTTTTTTTTTTTTTTTTTTTTAAGGTTTTTGCCATAGAGCAAATGCACTCATCAGAGACAGAGAGGGAAAGTGAGAAATCACCCCCGAGGAGGGATGACCATGCTGCAGTTCCTTCTCCATTCTCTTGGGTTTTCCGGCTGAGACACGTGCGCACAAACACACACAGTGTGATTTTCAAGCCACTGGGTCCAGACTCAAACCCCCATTGGTCATGTGGGAGTTAGCACCTTAACCACCATGCTACCTGTTAGCTCCTGTAACTCTTATTTTGTATAACTTAGCCCCAAAGGTTTGTCATTTGAACAATGCCCATTTAGATTTAGCATATTTACTTTAGTAAATTTAAATTAAATACAAAAACGAGTAACTGGTGAGACTGTATCAGATTTCAGATTTTCTGAAAATAGCTCTTTGACTTAGAGTAAAAATCGTTTTTTTCAGAGTACATTCTTTTAACATTGACTGGAATTGCTGGCCCGTAGAACTTGGTGGTGGTGGCGGTTTCTGACAGACATACTTTAAAAAGGACCACCCAAGGTTCATGTTTCTCGGAGCCAGGGACCTGGCGCAGAGTGATGCCAAGGCTCCTCTTTCTTATAGCAGAGAGCGAGGCAGCAGTCTATGGAGATTGCT